CTGTCTTACCACATGATATATCAAAATTTCTGAAGAAAATATTAAACATACAAAAGTAGCCCCGTCCACATTGTACAGGATTTTTGTCCTGGCTTAATTGTAGATTAATATTAGAAATCTATAAAAACTCCGCGCCAAAACTGTATCACAAACTGACTGGTGTAAAGGATGAGTTATGTTCAAAGTACTTATATCACCTAACTGCAAGTTCATTCAGAAATTTATTTATGAAAGTAGACTGAGATGGCGTTTCTTATGCGAAATGCTGGCACATATTACATTCCCGGCATGTTATTTACCGCCCATAATATATTCTGTTCATTGTTCAGGGGTTTAGCAAGGCGAAAGTTGCTGCATTCATTATAACTCGTCGACCCTGGCCCGGAAGAGTTGAATAATTTTGCTGGCTTGGTAGGAAAATCGTCTGGAAAACGAACCATCCAGTACCTGTCATTGCGCTTAAAACTAATTTCAACTGCACCAGGACTATCCTTGGAAGTTTCAAATTTGAACGCCGAATCGTATTGAACACCATACCAATACTTGAGCTCATCATGAACTTTCTTCAAAACAATCTCACGTTCAGACGGTGTTCGTTCTTCATCGTTCTTATTCTTACTAGGTTGAGAAGATGTACAGGTGGCATTTTCGGGGATGATACTTGATTCATCGTGTGCACTTAGGCCAACTAGGGATGAAGTTTGGTTAGCCTGCAGTTGGGTTGCATTGGCGTTGCAATCCCGTTCAGAATACAAACCCGTATTTCGTCGGTTTCCGGTATATCTTAAAGAAGCTCCACTGTGATTGGCTATCTTTCCCGAAGTAGTTCCTCTTCTTCGCTGATATTCTTTTCCCTCGGCTCCCAGATGAATCTCTGCCATAATTTTAGCATCAGTTGAGAACGGACTGTCGGATTCTAAAACCACATACTCTGCTTTTTCATAGCATGTTCCGCAGTCGGTGAAGAAATACGGAGATAGTTTAATTGTATCGCCGTTTTTAATGTTTGCAATGATAACCAAAAATTTCGAAAAGCCTCGAGGGAAGTCACGTCTGATAAAGCGCTCCTCTTCAGCATTGGGTTTGCTCAAACTTAGACTGTGGTGGGAACGCCATTCTCCGATATGGCATAACATATAGCCCTTGTTGACAAAGCGACCAACACGTTGCATGTATTCCAAATCTTGATGAAACGAGTTGTCTGTTCGTCTGCAACGCTGGCCAGGGCCAAGGACAACATGAATTACAGCACTACCCGAATTCCTCCACAGACCGAACAAATTTCCTCCTGTTTCGATATGCTGATGTCTGTAGACCTCAACACACATGGCGTTATAGTCATCCTTATATATGTACACCTTAACAACAATTAATGCAAAATGTATTTATCACTTATAGTCCACTAAGAACACTCTGGTTAAAATTTTCCCGTATAACTTAGAGATAGCCCATAAAATGGTATCTCTCTCTAAGAGATACCATTTTACGAAATAAAATTCGGGGGTCATCGATGTCGTTTTCGAGTTAACTTACTACATTAAAGCCAAAATATCCGCCATATTGAAACGTCATTGTTAACATAGCAACGGCAGTGCGTAACTTTTGTGAAAAAATCGAACCTACTAGATGTTGTTTTGCATCAGTAAGATACTTTTTGTTTTCCAACAAGTAATAATTGTTCAAAAATAAGGTTCTATTCTATAATTTTCAATTTTTTTAACTGTATCGAGCCACCTTAAATTTCCTGATTATTTTATCTCATCTTCCTACCATAGTCTGGTTAATATAATCAGCTAGGAATCTGGCTATGTTTGACTCCTGGTCAAATTAACCAGACTATGTTGGGTGGATAAATAACCATTCAGGGGCCACGTCCTAGCCAAATATAACCAGATTCCTGCTTACTTTAACCAGATTATGGTAGGAAATGAGATAAAATAACCAGGAATATTAAATATTAAGTTTTTAACCAAAATAGTGTATTAGTGTTATTT